AGGAGGAGGAGGAGGAGGAGGAGGAGGAGGGGGAGAAGAATACACCTACCTACCTCATTGACAGGATCTGAAAAGCTGACAGATGACTTGACCAGCTCCTCAACCAGCAATTTCATGACAGCCACCATCATCTGATAGATCCTTGTTCTCATTTCCCTCCTCTGAGACTCTGTGTAGCCGCCTCCATGCAGGATGCGCAGCTGCTTGAGGAAAGTGCTCTTACCCGATTGTGGGAAACCTAAACAGGGAATCACATCCAGGTTTTGTTTTGACTTTGTGCGAGTCATCGTGCCCACCTGATTTGCTACACCGTTCATTGATATGTAGGCTTATTGACAATATTGAAATCTGCTGAGTCAGGTCAACAAAGTGTGGTTGGCAAGATCATGTTAGTTCTGTTAAAAATAAATTAGCTAGCAGAAATGTATGGTACTGCAATTTTGCAAAAAGCTAGACTCTTACTTTCAAAAAAAGCCTCACTAACTCTTTACCAGACACGGTGTTTGCCTTATTTTGAAAACTATTGTTCAGCTCACGGCGCCCTTTTTCGCCCAACTTCTTGTATGGAATAAAAAAAATAATGACAGCTAACACATTCATTCTTTTTTTTTTGTGTTGGAAATATGCGAGGACACATATATGAATGTAAAGAAATCGGAACATTGTCAGCTATTGCAAATGGTCATAGAAACCAAAATAAAAGCTGAAAAAGTCTGGTCTTGGTTCGGTGTTACTGGAAAGCTAGAAATTATTTTTATAAAACCCAATTACCAGAAGTCATCCCAGTTATTCAGTCAACTTACAAAACCTAGATGTGACATAGCATTTTAAGAAAAGTAAGGAATTTCTGGAGTGTAACAGATACAGTCTGTATATTACATTGGGTGTATTCTGGCACTAGAATCAATTTGTACTTTTTCATAGAAGAGACTTCAGGGTAATTTTTATAAACTTTCGAGAAACTATCTGCAAATATTCACGATTATTTAGACAAATAAAGTTGTATTTGGAGGAATTACTTCATAGCGAATTGTGTACCAGATGGATACAGTTGCAAAATTACAGCTTTCTATTCTATGCACAGATACCCTGGACCATCTTTTCTGAGTATCTGCACCAATGTTATGTCGTTCATGTTCCAAAAGTTTGACAGTTTTTGTCATACCTTTATATATATATATATTGATTTTTTTTCATTGATACACTTGTCCCAAAAATTTTACAATTTAGCATTGCCAACTTCAGCGCGTCTAACTAAATAACCAGACAAGTTACAATGTCCCTTCTTTTTTGAGTCTCAAGACGAGAAAGGCGTGCTTTGGGTGCATTAAAGGAAAATTACCATAAATTTTCGAAGTGGTTATTCATACAATTGTGTGAAAAACTCTATCTGGATATCCGTACAATATTGTTGTACGAATAACTGCCACTAGTTATCCGTACAATACTAAACTCCCACAACCTAGGCCTTGGCCGAGGCATATTTGCACGAAACAACGAGTTTTGACGAAACCGGAAAAGCGATATTTTGTGCGGGATTTCTCATGCTCAATGACCATGGGCACTGGGCAGTACTGGACACACTGGACCGGTGGGCGCCAAACCGACTCGATCAAGCTGAGCAGTGTCTGACTGAAGTTTTGATGAGATTTCAGCCAGCTCAGACAGGATGTCTTCATAACACCCCCCCCACCTCTCTCTCTCTCCTATGAGTGTATTTCCAAAAAAGAAAAGAAAAAATACCCCCCATTCCGGAGTGCCACACTTCGTGGCTTTCAGATTTAACAAGAACTTTTGTGACCCCAACAGCACCCAGTGCTCACGTGATGCCATGGGACCTAGCGTAGAGCCTATCTATCTTGTGTTTAAGTTGTGATGCAAGCAGGTTCACTGACCGGTCAGGGTGGCGAACAAACCCGACAAGACGCTTGTATAACTTTCTTTCCTTTTTTATTTTTTTCAGCAAGTGACAGCACAGAACAAATATTGATTTATTTTCATGATGTCACTTTTTTTAAACAAAAAAACAACAAGGGCACAGCAAAAATTGCTGCGGTTTACACTTTTTACGGTAAATTGCAAAGGCACCAAGGCAAATTGCCGTGGAGCCGTGGTCTATTTCAAGCCCTGATGTCTGAAGAATACCTCATCCTAAAAGAAAGACAGAGGC